GTCTGTCATGATCAGTGACTTGTCTGTTTTCTTCATCACCAAGCAGCATCAGTGTCTTACATAGAAGATGCTGAACAGTATTTGGTGAATGCGTAAGTGATGAGTGGGCTCCTTGGCTGTTGCTCCCTGTCCCTGGAGCTTCACCGGAAGTAATTTCATCTCTTGAGTTTGGTGTGTATTTTTTTACTCCTTTTTTGCATGCATGGGTGTGTATTATGTGTGTGTAATTGGATAATACCATATTGTGTGGGTTTTTTTTAAATTAATAGTACGCCTTAAACATTTTTTAAAAATTATTGTTACAATGAGACTTACCTTTTTATGAGGTGCATAACTTTCCATCGTATGGATATATTACATTTTGGCTCAGATTTTTTTGGTACACTAATGATACTGCAATGAACATTCTTGGGAGTATGTATAAGTATTTCCTGGTGGTTGATAGCAAGAACTAGAATTGCTGGGTCACAGGTGGTACATATATTTGATACTTCCAGGTTGCCTTCTAAATGATCGTCCTAATTCACACCTTCATCAGCAGTCTATGAAATGACCTACTCTCCCTCACCTTTGTTGTGATCGATATTATGAGACTTAGAAATTTTTGCCAAAATGATATGTGAAAAATATTATTTAGTTGTCATTCCATTCCACACTACTGGTGTTGGGCATCTGTTCATACATTATGTGAGGAAGTTCAAATTTGATTTAAGTCTGCTGCAAAGATCAAGTGTATAGGAGTGAGTGAGGCATGCCAGTCCCCCATCAGGGCATCTCCTTTGCCTGTGTTGTTCATTATTCTGACCTTCACAGTGGGTGGTAGGAGTCCTAGACAACCTGTAGTTGTAACTCTACCCAAAAGCTAAGAGTGTACAAAAATGATTTTAAGCATTTCTTCAAAATCCCAGAAACAGACAGGAGGGGGTGCTGACCCATCTAGTTCATTGGTGACATGCAAAAGCACCTGGAGACTGAATTTTCCAGTTACTTATTCTACTCTTTGCTCTTTGGATGAGCAACTAAAATGAAAAATGAAGTTGTACATGGCATCATCAGGTGCCACTGCAATGGAGGCCATAGTTCTGAGGAACACTGGCACATTCCTATTCCTGCATGTCAGATTTGCTACCCAACCATGATTAAGAGGAGAGCTTCTATTAGACGTGAAATGCCCAGGTTTCAATCCTGGTCTTGGTTTGCTTGCAAGCTTGGGCACATTTCAGAATATCCATCCCTCCGTTTCAGTTTCTCTCAAATAGAGCAAATGATGCCACCTATCTTATAGACTCAGTCAAAGGGCTCGCTGGCCAGTAAATGATAGATGCGTGGCACAGCACCTGGCATGTACTAAATAGCCAGTGATGGTTGTTCCTGTAATTAGGGAATAGTTTTGGTTGGATCGTTTGATATCAGAGTTTGCATTGGAGTTTAAGACCTGCTCAAGGTTTGGGGTTTTTCCTCTGCATTTAGATTAGGGAGAAGACCACTCTAGTATGCCTTTCACAGGTTGTCTATGGAATCATCTTCACTTTGAGTAGAAGAAGCCACAGTGGCCTTAGATGTGTATTTTATTCATAGCACCTTGCAGATTTTTCATCCAGACAAGCAAGTGAGGAGTATTTAATAAAGGAAGCAGTCAGGCCATTAAATTCCATACCAATTTTTATCCAGTACATTAAATTACCACACGTTTGTTCAGGCTGTGGCCTTCTGAGCCTTTGGTTGACATTTTATCTGAGGCCTGACCCCTATCAGATAGTTCTGTCAATTTGAATAGAATGAAAAGAGGGACTTCATTCCAGTAACAGCAGACTGAGCAGGGCTGGCAGTAGGCTTGGATTTTATTGTCCCTTAGGTACCTTGTCTTCAAGGCTGTGACTCAGGACTTCTAATCATCTGCCTCGTGTTCAGGATGAGAACAGAAGCGCACTGGGAGAAGTCTGTGTGGAACTGAGTCAAACCCAGCTGCCTCCTTTCTCAGCTTCCTCAAAGTTCTTGGGTTCCACACACTCTTGGTTCTGGTGATAGGACTGACTGAATGCTAAGGGATCTGCTGAGTGGCATTTGAGAAATGCTGGGAGATGCTTGCTTCTCATCGCTCACTCCAGGATGGGCCATCCACGTGGAATTCCTCCCACGAGAAAATACTAATAAGGTTAATATGCATCCTTGATTAAATCTTCTTTGGAAATGCAAGTGTTCTTAAGAAGGATGTTATACTAAACCAGTGTTATTCCATTAGTACTTCATTTATCCCCGTATACAGTTATTCCCCACGTATTTGTGAGGGCTTATCTGCCAATGTGACACTGCTGTGGACCAGCGGGATAATGGCTAACCAGGCAGACATAGTTCCCGCTTTGTGCAGCTGCATGTTGAGGGGAAGACAGACTTTAGATAGGCAAATAAAACAAAGTGTGATCAAAGTGAAGGAGACACCAGGAAGGGCCTTGAAGGAATGGGAGCTCAGACTTGATTCTGAGCCACTTAGATCATCTCCCTGGGGGAGCCTACACTCTCATGGGATGCTGTCCCACATGCTGCTCTCGGTGAAGGTTTGACCTGTTGTGAGCCACCAGCGCATGCAGCCACCTCAGGGCTCCAGGCTAATTTACTAAGTTACATCACAATATCCTTTGGGGAGTCTTTGCCACAGGATCATGTTGTAGGAGAGATCACCTTATATCGAAGCTCTTCTGCTCATTTCACCCTGGAGTGAGCTTAAATCTCAGTTGAGAGACAGAAAGGAAGAGGAAGAGAGATGGGAAAGAAGGGAGAGAGGAATAGAGACTCTGAGTAAATAGAGACCCAGAAACAAGAGAGAGGGACAGAGAGGTGGCCTGTGATCATACTGTACAGCTGGATAGGTTGGGTACCGTCTTTCCTGGTCAGGGACAAAGGCGTGGATGGTTCACTCAGGACACCGGGCCTGAGGCACACTCTCATTCAGCAGCTCTGACCTTGGACAAGTCACTGAACTTCTGTTGCCTTTGTTTCCTTATTTGCAAAATAAGGACTTAAAACACTGCATCCCGTGAACTGAGCTGTTCTGAGCTTGTTTGGTTAATGCTTATGAGGAGAGCTTTCAAACCATAAACATGCTCTCACAGATACGACTTGTCCTTCTATGTAAATATCCAACGTGTATATGTACAGTGGGTGCAAAGGCACATGTAAACCTTTGGAGTTGGCTTCGGATGAAAAGGTAAACTGAGGCTATGAAGCTCAGGGCAGCCCCAAAAGAGGACTTCTCTTCAACTCCCTCTTTTTCATAGCTCTAATTGTATTTCTGTGATGCTCCTAACTTTTCAAAGCATTCCCACATCAGCCATTTCACATCCCCACCTCACTGTCTTGGTAGGTTTGTTATGTTTTTTCTTTTTTTTTTTTTGGTTTTGGTTTTGTTTTTTTTTTAAGAGGTTTTTGTTATAGGGTGTGTGCACTCACCAGACAGACAGAGAGAGGCAGAGAGACAGAAAGCGAGAAATCACTCCCCAGTGGGGATGGCCACGCCGCAATCCCTTCTCCTCCATTCTCCTCTTAAGATCTTGGGCATGCAGCCAGGTGTGAGTTTTAAGCCACCGGGTCTGGGACACGAACCATGGTTGACTACGTGGGAGTCCAGCAACATACCCATTACACTAACTGCTGGCCCCTGTAGGTTTGCTTTGGAGTGTCCAAACTCACTCAAGCAACCTACTTCTTTTGCTTGCAGATTTCTACACGGATGTCATTTTCTGTGAGTTTGTTACTGTCTTCCAGAGGCGGGGGGAGCAGAGAATATGAGTGTAGGCTAGGAAGACTTGCATTTGACACCTAAAGTCTTGCAGCAGAAATGAGGCCAGACTTGGGGGACACCACCGATGAGAGCCTCACTTGCCAAGCTGACAGTAAGACATCATCAACTTTATGAACGATTCCTTCCAAAGCACTCTGGAAAGATGCCTACCCTACTGCCTCCAGTGCCCAAGGTGCCACAGTTCCTCTGTGAAGGAGCAGCCCTCTTAGAAGCCAATGACAAACTTTCAGAAGTCACCCATTTTCTGACACTTGCAAATGGTATAGCTCTTAGGAATGACTTTTTCACATTTATCTGCTCTAACTATTAAAGAAAAAAAAAGTGAAATTCGTGTTTAAAATCAAAATGAAGCGATAGGAAGGAGATCCAATACAAGAGAACTGCAGGTCTGTTTTGCTGCCCATAGGTGTGAGCACGCAGGCTCAGAGGGGGTGAGCACCTGCCTCTCAGGGGCTGATCCCTAACTCAGGGATCACTTCCTGTGTCCCTCCTTACTCTATCACCTCAGCCTCCTATACTCCTCAGGGTGCTTTGTAAGGAAGGAAAGAAGAGAAATGTCTGAGAGTAAAAAGAACAGAGACTGTGGAGTTGGAAGACCCAAGTTTGAATCCCAACCCCATCACTTAGTGACTGAATGATCTTAGACAATCCTTTTTTTTCTTGTAGTCACTGAGTCTCAATTTCCTTATCTAAAAAGTGGAGATGATATTATTCATAGAAGACTGGGTGAGGTTCACTGAGAAATTGTGGATAAAGTGCTTGGCACAGCCTCTGACCCACAAGAGGTATTCGATCAGTGGTAGTTTTATTCACTCATTCGTCTAAAGGAAGCCGTATGAACCCAGCATCATTTAGCTTTCTTACAAGCCTTTCCTTCTTTCCTCGAAGACGACTTGATCATGAGGCCAGTCCAGATTACCCTGTTTAAATGGTGAACCTGCATCACAGCCCCTGTACCTACCAATCTCACTCCCCATCCTTTTTGCACTGCCTGTTGCTTTCTAACAATTCACATATTTTACTCAGCATTTAAATTTATTTTGTGTGGTCTGTCTCCTCCTGAGAGAACCTATGTCTCACAGGATATAGACCTTTATCTTTAATATATTTCTTGCAACTGGGAGGGGGTAGAACATGGTGTACAGGAAGTGCTCAATAGGTACTTGTTGAATGAAGGAAGGAAGGAAGGACCTGGAATTACCCGGTTCCAGTGCTGGTTTTCCCTTGCTCTGGTGTTTGTGACCTTTGGTAGATGGCTCTCAGCCTCAGTGTTCTTCTAAAAAAAAAAAAGCACTGGTGACAATGATTTCAGCTGTCCAGAGCCTAGAGAACTGAATGAGACAATGTCTGCTCAGCACTCGGCATACCATCTAGGGCATAGTAACTACTGACTAAATGAACGCTCTTGAAATAAAAATAATTAATTTACCAATTTTCATGCCAGTCTAGGCAGAGAGACAGGACTCATTTAAAGTCACTCCCAGAAATAACCACCCCTAGTCTCATTTCGAACTCCCTTGCTCAGTGTGTGCTTAAGCAGCTGGTCTGTGGATCCCAGCTGCTCCCCGTGTCCCTCTGGTCATCCACCTCCCCAGGATCACATACAGCAGGATGGCCAGTGGGAAAATCCAGAATCCATAGATATTTGATATCAATGTGTATGCAGTTTGGTGCTAAGATCAAGATGTTGCTGCCCACAAGCCTGTCAGCTGCAAATCATAGAGCCCCTCTGGGTTCTGTCTTGTAGCGGGAGCCAAAATCATGGTCACTGCCTTCAAGGAACTTATGATCTAAAAAGCATTCTCAATAATAGAGCAGGGAGGGACCAGCAGGTGGCATGGTGGTTAAGGAGGCTGGATCCCACATGGCCGACCATGCCATTTGAGTCTCAGACCTGACAGTCTGAAAAAGATGCCAGGTGTGTGTGTCCAGAATCCTAAGAGGAGAAGAAATTGTAGTGAGGCCATCCCCCGAGTACAATTTTTAAGTTTTAACCCCACCCTACTCCCGATCCCCGTCTTCAGTGAACACATGAGCCCTATAGCAAAACTAAAAAAAAAAAACAAAAAAAAAAAAGGGAAAAGAATAGACCAGGGATGCCCACATGAGCAGCCATCATTGTCCTGTGTACACACATGCCGAGTGAATCAGGGAAGGCTTGGAAGCGTAAAAGAGCCAGCTAAGTTTCCATCTCATTCTGGTGGGCAAAGATGGCCTGTCATTTTTTTCCCCTAAATGCCTCCCCTCAGTACAAAACCTTAAGGCAGGTTAATGTGATGGATTAAAAATGTGACTGGCAGACAAAGTTTGAATTTTAGTTCTGCTGTGTATATTTGAGCAAGATACTTGGCCTCTCTGAAGATAATGATCATTGGGACCAGCAGTTAGCGTAATGGCTATGTCGCTGGACTCCCACATAATCGACCACGGTTCGTGTCCCAGACCCGGTGGCTTAAAACTCACGCCAGCGCGTGTGCGTGCGTGCCCAAGATCCCGAGAGGAGAATGGAGGAGAAGGGATTGTGGCGTGGCCATCCCTCCCTGGGGGGTGATTTCTCGCTTTCTGTCTCTCTGTCTCTCTCTGTCTGTCTGGCGAGTGCACACGCCCTATAGCGAAAACCTCTCAAAAAAAAAAAAAAAAAGATACTGATCATTCATTTCTGCTGCATGTTATTATGTGCCAGGTACTTTATATATGTTCGTCATTTGTTCAGCCATTTACTCAGTCATTTGTTTGTTCAACCAGCTTATTGGGTGGCAGCCTCTTACCAGACACTGGATTCAGCAGTGAACAAGACAGCCCAAGTTTCTATCTCACTGAACTCTGATATTGGTAGTAGAGATGGAGTAACTCATTACATATTTACTTAGTGTTAATTAGTTATTTGTTAATAACTCAAAATGCATATATTTAACTTCATGCTACTTGATGAGTGAATTGTAATCAATGTCAAGAAGCAGACGTTCAAAGAGTTTTCCAAGAGCGTAGCCTATGAGGGTAGATGACTGGCCTATTCCAAAAGCTCAGCCAAGACTTCCTAAGAGAAATGACATTGGCATTACAAAATTGATGCATGCAGGGGCCAGCAAATGGCGTGGCAATCAGGACACTGGACTCCCACATGGATGACAGTGGCTCAAGTCCCAGACCTGGTGGCTTGCTTTCTCACTTTCCCTCTCTTTTGCTGTCTCTCTTTGGTCAAATTAAAAAATAATAATAAATTAAAGAATTCTTTTTTAAAAAATTGAAGCATGCATGAGAGCTTGCCATATAGTCCCACTTAGTAGAGGAAGAAACTGAAGCTCAGAGAGGTCATATAAATTGTTCAGAGAACTACAATTAGGATTTGATAGATGCTGAATTTGGATCCCAGCTTTTTAAACTCCGAATCTGGTGTTCCTTCCATCTTGCTAGTATTCTTAAACTGAAGAACACATCAAAATTGCTACCAAGAGCTCTTTTAAAGTCTTCAAGATCTGCATGCTGAAGTTCATCAAGAGATTCTGGGAAAACACATTTTGTATACTGTGACATCACATTTTATATGCTGTGACGATGCTTGGGAAAGAATGTAAATTAAGTTGAAAAAAAAGTTTCAGAAAAAAAATTACCTATTCGATGACTGCAGTAAGCTATATAGCCCCAGCTAGGTGCTACTTTATAGGATGTTCATTCTACTCACTGAGGCTTATGCCTAAAGTTGGACTTGTGTTCATAGAAATGTATATATCAGCTGTGCTTGCTATGAAAATATTTAGATTAATTAAGATCTTTAGTGACTCAATAAAATGTGGGGGAAAAACAGTATAGAAAGCAAACATAGATACCAGAGACAGTGTGGGAGGAGAGTGGGAGAGGGCAAAGGGTAAGAGATAGGGAATCAAGGATGAGGAAAAAAAAGCAAAACACACAGGAAACAAGAAATGGAAAATTATTTGCTGACGATAACATGTATGTTGATGTGCTTGATTGAGTCACTATACAGTGTACTCAGGAAAAAAAATGCATTTCTCAGAAAAAAATTTCTCTCATGAAACAATGTTCAACTAAAAAAAAAGAGAGAGAGAGAGATTCTGATTCTGTCGGTCTAGGTGGAGCAAGGAAAGTGAATGGGGATTTGAAAGGGTTTTCTAAGTGATTCAAATGCAGAACTCCAATAATACCACTGTCTTGGTATTTCTGCTGCTCTACCCCAAAACATAATGGCAGGGTAATACCACAGAACAGAATGCAGTGGGGAGGAGGTAAGACTTGGCCATATGAAGAGTCCCCTGAGTGGTCTAAGGGAAGCTTCATTGCTGTCCTCAGTCTCTTCATGAAGATCTGACTACATCAATACTTTCAGCCCTGACTTCATATTATTTTCACCTGGAAAGCTTCAAGAAGTGTTCTCATGCCCCATCTGTAAATAACTGCACCAGAATCTCGGGAGAAAGGGCATAGGCATTTACAAGACGTTTCCATCTGATTTAGCGCTAGTTGATCTCTAGATGATCTCAGAAGTCTCTCTATCTTGGAAATCCTCCATGTCTATGAAATCCTTCATCCCCCTCCCTTGTACAGAATGGAGGATAAGGGGCATTAGGAAGGCTGGGCTTAGGGGGCGGGTGCAGGGGATGATGCATTGCCAAGACCTGCTGCTGTACTCTGGCAGTGTCTTTGTGAAAATAGTAACTTTTTTTTCCTGACTGATTTATGTGACAGTTGGAAAGCAGCCCTTAGAACAGCCTGTTCCTCCCCTCTGCACTATTAACATAAATATGTGCACGGGGCCTGCAGCTCCTGCTTCTCTCTGTGTACAGGAGGCTTAAGGGGCCTGGAAAGCCGGAGGCCTAAGAGAAACCAAAGGAGAGGAAGTGTTGTTAGAGGCACAAGAATGAAAAGGGGAAAAGGACAGGATGTTGCTAAGAGACAGCGTCAAGCTGGGCCATGGGATTAACAGCCAGTATCAAAGCAAGTACTTAATGGTATGTTCCAGTAGGGTCTTTTCCAAGCATGAGCAGAGGGTGAGATTATCAAAGCAATTCCATTCCAAATCAGGCGTAAAAGGCTCCTTTCCTTCTTGGTAGGACCAAAATATTAAGTGAAAATTAAATGATTTTTTTTTTTAATTATATCTTCTAGCTTGGGGTAAAGTGAAACTGGATTCTTTACTGTGGAACTTCTCAGAGTATTTAATATGCTAATAAGCATTCAGAATAACTGAGAGATCCGACATAGCTTCCAGCACATTCTGAAATTATTGGCAACTTTTGTATTTAAAGGAGTTAAGTGTTTTCCAAGAATTGCTTGTGAATCTCTGATATTAAAATAAATAAATAAACAAACAAAACAAAACAAAAACCTCCCATAACATCTATCTAGTATTGCTGGGCTAATTACTTTACTTAATATGCACAACCACCTTGTGAGGGGGGTACTTTTTTTTTCCTTCTTAGCATAGGTAAAGAAACTCAAGCATGAAAAGATTACATAACTTGACACAGATCATATAGCCAGTGGGGAAAGGAAGAAAGTGGGGCTCTTGAGTTTAAAATGATCTGGATTCAAATCTTGGTTCTGCCATTTGCTGAGTGGACATGTTTGAGTAAATTAATTACCCTCTCTGAGCCTCAGTTTCCTTATGTGCAAAATAGAATAAAATGTACTTTGTACAGTTGCTGAGATTAGAAATACCATACATAAAACATACAGTATATGGCCCATAAATGGCTACAGATAACATCATCATCATCATCATCATCATCTTATACTTAATGTTTGAAAAGCGACTATTCAGTGGCATGCAGAGAAGAATGTCAATTTTGAATAAACTCAACAAAGTCAGCAGCAGGATTAGTCATATAACAGGGTAGGTAAATGATAAGTCTCTCTAAAGAAATAGAAAGTCCTTTTGCTGTTCTTCAGGCCAAACCTTACTCTCATCAGTTGGCAATGAAGCATCCTCCTTTGGAATTTATGAAGGCAGAAGGACCTTGGGGGTGGGGGACTACTTGATAGCAGAGACTTTGCGGGTAGAAACTGGTGGCTCTCATCTGGCTGGCCATCAGAATCCTCAAGGAATTTGTTCAAATAAATTTTTAAGCCCTGGCACTGCAAGTCCACAGATCTGTGATGGCTCTCAGGAATATTCATCTTGTGGAAACTTCCAGCTGATTCTGATTATCAGGCTGCTTTTAAAACCACTGGACTTGATGAAGGCTTGGGAAACCTTCCCACTCAGTTACCCCATAAGGCCTCAGAGGAGTCTGTTACAATTATTTTTGGAGTCTAGAA